TTAGGTAATATAAAAAGTACTTAACTAAATCCTTTTCTAGATATCTAACTAAATTATTCTAGTAATAATAAAGATATTTCTTTTAGTTAATACTCTAGCTATTAATACTTTTATTTATTAATAATTTAATTACTTTATAATAAACTACTTTCTAAAGATTAAATTAATTAGAATATAAAATATATAATAATAAAATAATATATAAATAGTTAAAATAAATAAACTATAAAATAATACTTATAAATATAACTAATTCTAATAATTAATTCTAATAAAAAACTAATTAATATCTTTTTCTAAAACTAGAAGTATTTCTTTATATATTTTCTAGTATTTAGCTAAGCTTATAAAATACTTTATTTAACTAGGAAATATAATTCTATATAATTTATATAATTCCAATTACTTATATAATTCCGATTACTTATATAATTCCGATTACTTATATAATTCCAATTACTTATATAATTCCGATTACTTATATAATTCCGATACTTATATAATTCCAATTACTTATATAATTCCGATTACTTATATAATTCCGATTACCTTATATAATTTCAATTATAAGCTTTATTTAAAATAGGAAACTAGATTTATAATATCTAATATTTATTTATATATTACATTATATAATATCTATTATATATTATTACTATATATTCTATTATATATTATTATATATATCTATTATATATTATTATATATATCTATTATATATTATTATATATATCTATTATATATTATTATATATATCTATTATATATATTTATATTTATTAAAAAAATGCAAGTTTTAATAAAATATAAATATTTATTTTTATTAAAAAAACTAATTATAATAATATAAAAATTATTATTCTAAATAAAAAACCTAAAAAGTTATAAAATTAGAAATTAATTAAAAACTTTATAAGAACTTTTAAATTTAATAAAATGAATTAAGAAAAATTAGAAATTAATTAATTAAAATATCTAATATTAATAATAAAAACTAAACTAATATCTAGAAACCTTTTAGAAATAAGTAAAATAATATAATAAAATGAGTTATTTTATATATAAAATAAAATATAAGAATTTTCTTATAAAGTAATATTAAAAAACTAGCTATTTACCTAATTTAATAAAATATAAGAATTTTCTTATAAAGTAATATTAAAAAACTAGCTATTTACCTAATTTAATAATTTTATAACTATTATATATATTTTTAATACTTTTAGAAAACCAGAATCTAATATAAATCTTAAGAATAAAGAAACTAGAAAAATAAATATTAAAGCCCTAAAAGCTATTAATAAAAGAATTAATTTTTAAAGCCTAAACTTTAATAATAAAAATAATTATAGATTTTTAGTATATTTAATAAAAGAAAACAAGTTTAGTAATAATAAAAATTTAGATATAAATTTCCTAAAAATAAATATAATAATTATTTATTAAATTTATAACTAGTATTTAACTAAATATTATATTAGCTAGATATAATTTAGAAGCTAGTTAAAGAGAAATAACTTAGAAAACAAAATAATAAATACTAAAAATAAGAAAAATAAAAATAAAACTAAGATTAAAAAAAGAATAAAAATCTATTATTACTAAAATAACTAAAAGTAGTTATAAAAACTATTTTAGAAAAAATTAAAAAGCTAGTAATATTTATAAAAGTATTAAAGCTATAAATTCTAAAGAAACTAGAAGAAATAAAGTTATAAACTTTTCTAAAAATATTTAAAAGCCTAAAAACTTATTCTAAATAAATAATATTAGTATTAGAAACTCTTATAAAAATACTAAATTATCTAATAGTAATTTTTTTTAAAGAAAAAAGTTAAGAAATCCGAGCTATTATAATTTATAATTTAAAAGCTATATTAGAATAAAGTATTAAGCTTTATAAGAAAGCTAATAAAAGCAGGCCAGAAAGAATTAAAAGAAATAAAAAAGAAATAAAAATAACTAAATAAAATCTTATTTAAAAAAACCGAAAAAGTTATAAAGAATAAAAAAAAGAAGTTATTCTCGAATAGAAATCCGGGACTTTTCTAGAAAAAGAAAGAACTAACTAGAAATATAATTAGTAAAGAAAGAAATATTAATAATTAAATATAATAATAAGAATAATTATAAATAGAAGAAAATAGTAAAATACTAGAACTAGAAATTAATCTAATATTTTAGTATTATAAAAACTCGAAATAATAGTTCTAATAATATAATAATACCTATAGAAAACTTATATTAAGAAATATAATATAATTAATCTAATAAAATATTAAATATTTATATTATAGAAATAATAGTTTCCTATAATTAGTCTAATAATATATAAATCTAAATAAAAAATAATTTTTATAAATAATTTTTATTAGTAATTAAAATATAACTATAAAACTTATAAAAAAACTAGTTAAAATAAAAAGAATTATTATAAATATAAATATTTCTTATAAAGTATTTATTCGGGATATATATAACAAAATAAAATATAAGATAATAATAAAAACTAGAAAGAATTCGGAAAAACTTAAATTTGAATTCTTATTAAATAAAAGAAAAAAAGAAATAGTTCATTTAAAAGTTTTTCTTATTTAACTAAATATAAAATTCGAGTTTATATAGAAGAAATAATATTAGTATAGTAATAAGAATATCTAATTAGAAAGAAACTAAGTATTTAGTAATTACTTATTATTAGTATTAGCTAATTATAATAAATAAAATATTTTATTAATAAACTAATAAGAAAATATTAGTATAGTTAGTATATTATATAAAAGTCAAAGTTATAAAATTATAAAATTATTTATTATAAAATTATTTATTATAAAATTATTTATTATAAAATTATTTATTATAAAATTATTTATTATAAAATTATTTATTATAAAAAGATAATATCTAAATTTATAATAATATATCATATTATTTATAAAATATTATTTATTAAAATATTATTATTAAAAATATTATTTATTAAAATATTATTATTAAAAATATTATTTATTAAAATATTATTTATTAAAATATTATTTATTAAAATATTATTTATTAAAATATTATTTATTAAAATATTATTTATTAAAATATTATTTATTAAAATATTATTTATTAAAAATATTATTTATTAAAATATTATTTATTATAAAATATTATTTATTAAAATATTATTTATTAAAATATTATTTATTAAAATATTATTTATTAAATTTTTTTTTTTTTTTTTTTTTTTTTGAGGGGGGGGGGGGTTCAGCCATGCTAAGGTATTGGGGATTATTTTATTTTGCTTTTATTAATGGAATTAGATAAGAACGATTAATTTGATTCTGGTCTTATATTATAAGATAATTTTCTAAATTTTGAAAGGGATTCTTTTTTAAAGTAAATTTTAATTTCTAAAAATTTCAATAAAAATAAAAAAGATTAATGAATTTCAACATCCTTTTCATTATATAACTTGGATCTTATATATATAATAAAATCTAGTCTTAGGGCCTTAATAAGCCTTAACTAAAATTCTTAAACGCTCAAGAAAAGATTGTCTCGATATAAAGTATTATTTCGATTTAAAAATAGATAAAAAGACTAAATAATAAAGAAGAATGAAAGAAAATAATAATAATTATAGATGATACCGTATCAAGAAGAATATAAATTATAATGATCATTCATAAAATCAAATGAAAATGCAAAATAAATAATTATAAATAATAAATAATATAATATCGATATATATCTGGATTATTCATCTAAAAGAAAACAAGATCTTGACTTTAATTTACAAGACTAGTATGAGTATTATTCTCAAATTCAAAGAGAATATTTGTATAATTAATACAAGAAAATAGTCACATGTCGATCATGATATAAGATAATCTTAATAATATTTCCAACTTATATTATAATTCTTAATCTTTATATTACCAAAATTCAGTAAAGAATTTCAAATCATTGCTGAGATATTAGACGATATTAGTATTATGACGGGAAATCTTAGTATACTAAAAAGATAATATCTAAATTTATAAATTAATATGATCCAAATATTACTTATTAAAATATGATTAGGGGAAGGAGGGAAGGGAGGTGGAGAGAGAAGGAGGGGGGGAGGGGAGGAGGGGGAATAATAACCTTTCTTTTATTATTTTGTGTCAGGACCCGGGAATCTCGGGGAAGGATCACAAAAAGGGGGGGGCAGTGTTAGAGAGTGCCCAAGTATTCTAGCGAGCACGTACACGGGTGGTCCGTGCGCAAGCCCTTAAGGCTTCGCACCTCCCACGACTCACTTCCTTCTTCAAGTTTCAGTCAGTCAATACCACTGGAATTGCTCCCTGACTCGCAACCTTTTGGTGACCCTTTTGGTGACCCTTTTGGTGACCCTTTTGGTGACCCCTGTTACATAGGCTCAAGGTATTACAATAGCCCTTTTCCCCCCAAACTTGCTAAGCTAATAATCCGCCTTATAGAAATCCCTCAGAACTTCATGAGAGCATTACCTTGACTACGAAATTTCGATCTTCCTGCGTCGCTTACCATAAAATATGTAGGAGGGAAACTGCGACAAGACAAAAACCCACATAAAGTATACCAGAGCGCAAAACGTGACTTGATAGCAAAATAACAGGAATAAAGGCATAAACATAGAAGTATAAATAGTATATAATGTGCAAAAGCTCAATTGACTGAATATGAAAGAGGGATTATTATCTAGAACTACAGAAAAACCAGCTTTCTTATGTGATTCCGCAAGTCACGTGCAAAAGGCCCCAGCCTTTGTCATGTGACCAAAACCTCAAAACTTGTCAAAACAAAGCAATTTTGGTAGAGTACGGCTTGCCGTACCACAATAGTAGTATACATGTCTGCACAGGCTAGTTGGCCTTACACGTGGTCATGTGCATGCGGCATGTCACATGACCATGTTCAACACAAGTCATGTACCTTAATAGTGGGTTTCACAATCACGTGAACAATTCGCCACACCACCCCCCCAACCACGCGTAAACAAAAGCATCGCCTTGACAAGTCAAAATCTTGCTTTTAATAAGCACTCCTCCACCACTCCTTGAACCCTTCTGGGCGCTACTGCCGAGTTCCACTCAATAGACCAGATACAGGTACAAATGCCCGTGAACTCCGAGAGAGTGCCCGCGCCCTCTGGGATCGCAACCAAGCTACCCGTCCTCTCCAGATCGGCTGTTGGTGCAGCCTTGCTCATAAGCCTCCAATTGTGCTCGCGGATCCTGACCTTCATTGTCAACCAAGTCTTTATCCGCTTCCTCTCACCCGAACTCCTCGGAATATCTACGCAACTCGAACTCTACTCCATCACAGTCCTCTTCTTCGCCAGAGAGAGCCTGCGAGTTGCCATCCAACGCCAAGCCGACACGATAGATGCTGTCTCCAAGGAGACAGAGAAAGTCCCAAAGGGTCACGTGGATGAGAGGACAGCTGCAGGACGGAGCCAAGCAATTGTGAATCTTGCTTACATCTCAATGGGCCTCGGTGTCGCCTTTGCCTTCGGATTTGCATGGTTGTATCTCCACACCACCCCTTCCCAGGATCCCACCGTACTAGAGAGCCTCTACTTTCGTGAAAGCTTGTCCATATATGGCCTTGCAGCTATCTGGGAATTACTAGCTGAGCCCTGCTACGTAATTGCCCAACAAAAGGCAAGATTCGAAGTACGCGCAGTAGCAGAATCGACTGCCACAGCGCTGAGATGTCTCATGACTTGCGGCTCTGCTCTCTGGGCTTCGCAAGTTAGCATGGATATAGGGGTCCTCCCCTTTGCCCTTGGCCAGGGTATATACGCCTTATCACTGTCGATCGTCTACTACTGGAAAGTCTGGGGCATCAGTTCCGCCAATGGTTTCTCTCTGATGGCCGCCCCTATTTGCAGGTAGGAACGTTCTTTCTGCTTCCTGGCCATCATAATTGATCCATTCTAGTAATTCTACATGGTACATATTCTCCTACTTTTCGTGGCCACTCTTGTCACTGAGTGGAACATTCTTCGTTCAGTCAATCATGAAGCACTTTTTGACGCAAGGCGATACCCTCATCATCACTTCCCTTGCTTCTCTTCAAGCGCAAGGCACGTATGCTCTGGTAAGCAATTATGGTGGTCTAATCGCAAGGCTGCTTCTTCAGCCGGTGGAAGAAGTGAGCCGCAATCATTTTGGCAAAGCCCTCTCGGTAGTCAATGGAACTCCTTCCAAGGAAGTGGTTCTGAACGCGCGGGATCAACTTCTTAGGCTTCTGCGAGTATACGTCCTCTTGTCCGTCTGTATCGTTGCTGTCGGGCCTACTGTGGCCCCGCTCCTCGTCAAGGCGACTGCCGGATCGAAATGGACATCTTCTGGAGCTGGGTCTGTTTTGGCAACCTACTGCTACTATATTCCGCTACTGGCAATTAATGGGTTAACGGAAGCTTTCGCATCCTCCGTGGCAACCGAATCGGAACTCAATCGCCAGACGATCTGGATGATTGGATTCTCCGTTGCTTTTGCCAGCGCAGCATTTACATCTCTGCAAGTTCTGGATCTTGGAGCTGAGGGTCTTGTATGGGCCAATGGACTTAACATGCTCCTTCGAATAACGTGGTGCGCGGCTTTCATACAAGCCTATCTGAAACGTTATGGTGCTAGCCTCGAGACCAGGTTACTAATACCCCGCCCAATGACCATGGCAGCTGGAGTCGTAACATATGCAGTGCTGGTGCAATTGCAGTCTACATTTAATGATGGAATTGTGGACTTTTTGAAAAGTGGAGTGGTAGCAGTTGTGTTTGTGATTGTTCTGTGAGTTTTCATCGTCTAAATCTAACCGTAATCTTTGCTAACAAAAGCAGCTCTTTCAGTGAGCGGGCATTCCTCCTTGAATGCTTCCGCACGTTTAGACGCCCAAGGCAATGAATTGTGGTGGAGGTTTAGTCGAACTTGATTTTCTTCGCTATTTTGGTCATGTCCGCATCTTTAGCAAAAGCCCCGTGTGACTCTTGGAGTGCATCAGCTGGCAGGGAAATTTCGCAAATATAACAGTTTTTACCAGCCCCCCCTCTCCCCCCAACCCATTCTTCCCAGCGCAGTGCCACCCGGGAATCCCCTCATTCCTCGCTTTTCCCCCTTCCTTTCATGGGACCATCTGCTTTACGGAGGTACAAACGCATCCAAGGGAAGCATGAGATCCACTTCAGGAAGAGCAATTCATATACGTTGCAATAAATTCCCAAAGGATGTCGTTGCAGCCATGGAGAAGAGACGCAGAATGTCTGCACGAAAGTAGAAAGTTGCGATAAGCCGAGGGCTGGTCCGAGGAAGCTCGTTAAGAAAAGTACTTCTGAGCTTGGGAGGAGTGGAACTGTGGTGGATCTGCAGACGATTTCCCTGCCGTTGATATGGTGGTGGCACACATCACAGGAAGCTTGTGACATCTTTGTGTCTTCACGATGAAGGCGCTCATTCACGGAATTCTCTATCTAGAGCAACACTAGGCTTATTTTCCCTTTATCTTTTCTTCTCAAGCTGCACTTTGTAAGGTGGATGAGCGCGGCACTTCTCTTTCATTTCTCAAAACTTACTTCTGGATGCGTAAATTGATAAAGGGTCGCATAACAGGGCGCGTATTCCTGGGTTATTTGGTTTATCAGACATACTTCTCATGACGAAGTTGTCTTCTCAAGCCATACAAGATCCAAAAGAAGATAGTATTTATTCTTGAAAATGAGAGAATGAATTCTGCGCAATTCCAATCTGTCAACCAGTGAAACGATCACTTCTCTTCCCACTTTAACTATATAATCTACATGGCCTCTACCAATATGTACCCCCCCCGTGCAATCGTTCATCAGCTTGATCTCAAGTGTGATCCAAAAAGTACTTCTCCCAGTAGGCAACTGCAGGTTCCAAATAGCAAAAGAACTAAATGGAGATTATAATTCTTTAGTGGTCATCAACAATGGCACCGCTTTTCACTAGGGGGTCAGCGCCGCGCCATCGTCTATAAAAGAAATCTATTCAAATCTGATCTTTTTAGCTGTTACTGTTCTATCCACGTCCCTAGCGAATGCACCATACGCTTCATGCTCCTTCCGCTTGACTGTAGTGCCAAATTTCAATAGTTCATCCGGGACCGGCTGATTTGCAGCTTTAAGGACGTTGATCAACCTACAAACGTGATTAGCGCCGGTTGCAAAAGGCCTCTTGGGTACCTACGCTCCAGACTGAGCCTTGTCATGCTCAGTAAATAGAGTAATTGCCAGACCCTCCTTCCCAGCTCTTCCTGTTCTGCCAATTCGATGGACGTAGTCTTCTGTTGTGAGAGGAAAAGCTTTTACCGGCAGGTCAGTTATTGTTCCAAAATCCCCTGGGGCTCTAGAAACCGTCTTCTGGAAAGGGGAATGACTCACTGCAGTTAATTACCAGCTTCACAGACGGGATGTCTAGACCTCTGGCTGCAACATCTGTTGCCACAAGTATTGGCGTGTTGCCCTGCTTGAAGGCATCCAGGCTTCGAGTTCTCTGTTCCTGGCTAAGATCGCCATGAATACCCGCAACACGGAACCCTTTTGATCTGATGAACCCCTCAATCCTCGTCGCCTCCTTCTTATACAGGGCGAAGACCAGAATTCGGTCATCCTTCTGACTTCCGCTCTGGTACTGCTTGAGAAGCTGCAGAAGGCGGTATTCCTTATTTCTCGGATCAACGACCTCCACTTGTTGCATAATGCGAGCATTCGCCCGTAGATCGCCAGAGGGGTTGTCTCCAATGCTAATTTTGACAGGGTCAGACATGAAAGTGGAAGCCAGTGAGCGAACGGACTCGGGCCATGTTGCTGTAAACATGAGCGTTTGTCTTTCCCCAATAGCCGGAGTGGTGTTAATGATCTTGCGGATCTCCTCTTCAAATCCTTTGTCAAGCATTCTATCAGCTTCATCGAGAACGACGTATTTTGCTTTACTTAGATCCGCACAGCCCTCATTGATGAGATCATTCAAGCGACCTGGAGTTGCAACCACAATATCTGCTGTCTTCAGGGATTTTCGCTGCTCATCTTTGGGGACGCCACCATAAACACAGACAGCTCTCAACCCAGAGACTTTTGCTAATTGCATGATCTGCTCATAGCTCTGCATGGCCAGCTCACGAGTTGGTGAAACGATGACAGCCCTTGGCCCATTATTTCTCTGACTCTCTGGCAGTGACAGGATGCCGCGTACACAAGGAACCGCAAAGGCCATGGTTTTCCCCGAGCCAGTCTCAGCAACACCAATTACATCCCTGCCCGCAAAAAGAAATGGCCAAGCCGCAGCCTGTATTGGAGTAGGGGCTTTGAATGTTTTGAATGGAGCTCGTTGTGCAGGATCAGTGACTGGCAAGTACGAGAATTCGGTCAAAGGGCGTAACGCCGAAGATGAAGGTAAAGGATCCGTTATGGAAATGAAGTTATCTGCCAGAAACTGATCGATATCCGCTTGTGGGATGGCAGACAGGCCAGGATCCTGGGTATATGGCAGTGAAGTCGCTTTCATCGCTGTGGATAGAGGACGGGTCTGCAAAGTAGTATCTCCATTGGTATGTCCTTCTTTGTCCGATCTCTTCGAAGCCTTTAATCTGGCCTTTTCTGCCTTTCTGGCAGCCTTCGCAGTGGTAGCATCGACCTGGCCTGAGCCATTTTTGGAGCTCTCGGAATCCATAACAGTCTCGTCTTGCAGCTTCTTCAATTTCTTCAGACGTTTCCGCTCCTTGCGGGCAGCCCTTGACCCGACCTCACCGTCTTCGACAGGGCTTTGGGTGATTTCTACAAGCTGCTCTTCCATAGTCTTTTTGCTTTCCTTTCGACTCTTTCTCGACGCTGGGCTGGTTTCTCGCAAGGCTTGCTCTCCGCTAGCTAGACCCGCGTCCTCAATCTTCAGTTTTGGCATGCTGAACTGGGCCTGTGCCCACTTTGGTAACTGTTGCTGCTGTGTGGTGAATGGGGAGACTGCGACGTGGTCGTTGGTGGTCTTTGGATCAAAAACCTGTCAAAAGTTTCGATTAAAAAATTGGACTGCGATAAGAAGAGCTTATCAGGGAAAAGGCGCTAGTCTATAAACGGAAGGGTCGACGCAGATTGGAGGTATAATTTCTACAGAGAATGATGATCGAGCTTTAGGTTGATTATCATTATTTAGCCTGGGGAGATATACACGAAAGGGACAGTCTAAACCAAGAAAGTCTTGTCCACAGCCCCAGACTAGCCTAGCATGACCACCTTTTGGACCTCCAGGCCATCCGCCTCGGGAGAAAGCCCGAAAACTCCCCTTCTGGATCTCGATCCGGTTATCGCTCCTCCAGGATGAGTTAGTTTAACGTTCAGGGACGGACTCCGGCCGTAGACACTGACGCTTGAAGGAAGAGGGACGAAAACCATTTCACCAAAGTCTTCTTATCGTCCGCAAACAATCCTCATATAACCTCCAAGCCTCAATATGCCTCTATAGCCTAAGCCTCTTGATAATACAAATAAACCCAAGTGCAAAAATGCCCGTTAGATGTATCCCCAATATCTCCTTAACCCCGATTAAGGGTACGCGTTATCAGCGCGCAAAGGGTCGGACTTCCTTCGTTGGCGAGCGGAATAAGGTGCCGATTTCTTATGAAGTCTCAGTCGATTAGAGACGGGCGGGCGAATCTTGTATGTCGACATTGAACAATAGAGGAGACACGAGTCTCGAGTCGAGGGGAGGAGTCGATTCGAGTCGGAGCGGTGGCGACGGTGAGGAGGAGATTCGCTGTCGTCAGATCGGGGGACTCAATCCTAGCCCTGTACTTCTCCAAAGAGATAAACAATCGGTGGACCGACTGCTACAGGTTACCAGACCGCACCACGAGGAGGTGTTGAGTCGTCGCGGTCCTACAGAGAATGATGATCATGGTTAGAATGCTGCAAACTGGAACAGGAAGATAAAACGGAACATATCCATCAATGTTATGCTTCATCGGGTATTGTATTTCCCAATCGGCTTCTTGCTGCTTGTTATTTTGTACACTTTGTCGTGCAACCAATCTTAGAACTCGTGCAATCTTCCTCCAGATTCACGTTGCCTGCCCCTTTTGTACCATTCATCATCCGCTATATACCCAAAGGACGTCTGCTATTGCAAGTCGTCTCCACAACCACTGTAACCCACGTATGTGGAAATCGAAACCCAACGCCTCTCGCCACACAGAAATTCGAACTCAAGCTGCGGCAGTCTGAGATGATGATGGCTCCATCACGGTCTCAACGTCAATCTTTGGCATGCTTGTGCCAATTCCACCCAAGTCAGTGGTTCGTGCATTCGGATTTTTGGTGTAATAGTTGGAGATGGCTGATTTGATAGCATCCTCCGCAAGCATAGAGCAGTGCACTGGAGGCGTCAGTAACGTATTACTTCAATGTGGGTTTACAAGCTTACGTTTGACAGGTGGTAAGCAAAGTTCCTTTGCGATTTCCGTATTCCGTACTCGGCCAGCTTCCTCCAACGTCATTCCGCGCACGAGTTCGGTCAAATATGATGAAGAGGCAATAGCTGAGCCGCAACCAAAGGTCTTGAACTTGACATCTGAGATAGTGTTGTTGGATGGATCAACCCTAATTTGCAATTTCATCACATCGCCACATGCTGGAGCACCGACGAGACCAGTTCCCACATCCGTATCCGTCTTTGACATGCTGCCTACATTGCGAGGCCGGGAATAGTGATCGAGGACCTTCTCATGATACTGCCGCCGGCTCGCAATAGCGAGGGGTGATGTGATGCGTGCGGATACAGGTCTTGTGGCAACTCGGGTCGACGCCGATAACGCTCTTCCGGCAACGCGGCCAGCTATGGAGGCGCTTCGAAACATGGCGATGGTCCAAATGCGTATTACGATCGTAGGAATTGAGGCGGTGATTGGGAGAGCTGTAGGTATTGGCTTTGTGGATGATTCAATTCCGAGTTGTTGATGTGAAGATGAGGAGAAGAGGATGACGGTAGAACCCGATCTGATAATTCACGGCACTGATCAGATCGGAGAAGCTAGTGGCGAATTGACCGAATGGAATAAAACAACCCCCGCCCACGTGACCGCGCGCATCAATCTCCCTCGAGCCTTAATACTTCGTCCTTCACGCAATTACCACGCTCCCCAACGGCCGAACACTCAAGGATGGCTTGCAAGCATGTGAACGCAGCTGGTAAGTCTTCAATTACCAGTTTATCTTCCCCGCACATCTTCTATAAAGAGCACAAGTGTCAGACCAACCAGTACCAGGCTGCCCCTCCTGCTGGCAAACGACCTATGTCAAGAGCCAAAGCCTGGTAGATCCAACAGCTGTGCAAAAATTCCCCGCCATGACCAAGTATCTTATTTTCGTATCCAATGCTGACAAGATTTACAGAGCTGCATCCACCTGGCCCGACACACTCAGTGTACAGAGAGGATTGCACGCAGTGCTTCGACTCGATAGTAGGTCCCATACACTGCTGTGCCATCTCAATACTTCCGTTTCGTGATCGCTTACTCGGAAAACTAAGATGCAGACGCTGACTCAGGCCCATAGGATGATTCTGCCGGTTTGGATGTCTGCCTTTACTGCTTCAACGGCGGTTGTACTGGTGACAGGAAGCACTCTCACCTCCACTACGCCCTCAAGAACCACCCCCTAGTCTTGAATATCCGACGAACTCGCCGAGTAGTTGTACGCGATGAACCACCTCAGAAGATGACAAAGATCGCAATCTCGGCGGAGACGGAGGCGGACAGATACAACTACGAGACAACTGTCAGATGCTACGAATGCAACCTTGACAATGTGGACAAATTAACGGGCAAGCTGGGCGCGGCAGTAGAGGGAGTGATGAAAGCAAACACGTTCTCTAGGCAAGAGGAAGTAAAGGCGTGGGAGCAAGTCTACACCTCTTGTGAACACATTCTCACTCTTCAGCAAGAAGCTCCAAGGCAGATCCAGTCGCAGGACCTTGGACACTGTTCTCTTTGTGACTTGCAGGAAAACCTTTGGCTATGTCTGCAATGTGGTAACCTTGGCTGTGGCCGTGCTCAGTTCGGAGGGCTTCGCGGACATTCCCATGGGCTGGAACACAAGAACACCACCGGGCACGCCGTCGCTGTCAAGCTGGGATCCATCACGCCCGAGGGGACGGCAGATGTCTATTGCTATACGTGTGATGAAGAACGCATAGACAATGATCTTGGCAAACATCTGGCTCACTGGGGAATCATCCTCGCGGAACGCCAGAAGACGGAGAAAAGCTTGACCGAGATGCAGGTGGACGAGAACATGCGATATGAGTTCTCCATGACTGACGAAGACGGCCATGAACTTCAAAAGCTGTTTGGAGGGGGTTTCACTGGTCTCAAGAACCTGGGGAACAGCTGCTATTTGGCCAGTAGCTTGCAGTGTCTATTCGATTTGTCTCAGTTCAAGGACCGATATTACCTCCCCCAGGCCGAACTACCCGTCATTGAAGATCCTGCTCAGGACCTAGAGACCCAGTTGCGCAAACTGGGCGATGGCTTACTTTCAGGCCGGTACTCTCATCCAGACCCAGACGTTCGCTTCCCCGAAAACTCGCCCGAGGTTGCCTACCAGAGAGGACTTGCCCCAGCAATGCTCAAGGTACTGATCGGAAAAGGGCATGAAGAGTTTTCGACAATGCGGCAGCAAGATGCCTTTGAGCTTCTCCTCCATGTTTTCAAACTGATTACCCGCTCTCAACATAAGGCTCCTCTCCAGGACCCAGTCCGTTCTTTCCGTTTCGTCATGGAGCAGCGTTTGCAATGTCTTAGTTGCAAGCGGGTTCGATATCGGAGTGATGAACAGGATAACATTTCCATTCCAGTCCCGCTCAGAAAGATCACTCAGCCAGCAACTGAAGCTGAAGAGGCTGGTGCCACCCCCAAGGTTGATGAGTACGAAGCAGTGACCTTGAAAGAGTGCCTGGACAGCTTTACTTCCCAGGAAATCGTGGAACTAACGTGTTCGGCTTGTGGCAGTAAGGATGGGTTCTCGAAGCGATCTCTTTTCCAAACCTTCCCGGACGTGCTAGTGGTGAACGCTCGGCGCTTTGTGATTGTCAATTGGGTACCTACTAAGGTCAATGTTCCCGTCGTTGTTGGTGACGAACCTTTTCTTCTTGATGCATATAAGTCGCCAGGTTATCAGCCATCCGAAGAACTTCTACCCGAGGACGCTGTGGAGAGCAAAACGTCATTTTTGGCCAACGAAGAAGTTGCGCAACAGCTCGAAGGGATGGGATTTCCGCGAAACCGTTGCGAGAAAGCTCTCCACGCCACTGGAAATGCGGATGCAAACACAGCAATGGAATGGCTTTTTGCGCACATGGAAGATCCCGATATCGATGCACCCCTCGATTTTGGTGGTCAAGTTTCGACAAGCACAGCTGATCCAGAGAAGATCGAGATGCTTGGTGCCATGGGATTCGGCCCACCACAGGCCCGCAAGGCCCTGAAGGAGACTGGTGGGGACGTGGAACGTGCCGTCGAATGGCTTTTCAGCCATCCTGACGATCAAGGAGAATTTGAAGAAGAAGAATCTGCAGGCCCTGTCACAGGTGCTGTCAAGGAAGTTCCAGGAAACCGTGAGCTGCCGGCAAGCTTCCAGCTCCAATCTATCATCTGCCACAAAGGCGCGAGCATTCACGCTGGGTATGCTATACAACTTGTTTACTGCTTTTGTTCTCCAGCTAAAACATTGCCAGACACTATGTTGCATTCATTAGAAAATCAGTCTCTGGGGAGGATGCTCCAGCATGGGTTCTTTACAATGACGAGAAGGTTGTCAAGGCATTAGACGTTGAGGAAATGAAGAAATTCGCTTATGTCTACTTTTTCAAGCGGACGTAATTTGGCGGAGGGCGTAGAAAATTACAATCCGGGGGTTGTTGGCGTCCAGAGCACCATCCATAGATAGACTTTGAAGACCAAAAGTGGAGCGGAGCAATGATCTGCTACAATGCGTTGCATACACAAAATGGCTCATCGGGATGATTAATGAGCTACTCTCAGTTAACCATTGGCTCCTCCGCAACATAGTGCAAGTAAGCTCCTAGTAACTTAATCCCCTCAATGTAGTTCTTTTTGTCAAGCTTTTCATTGATCGAATGCGCCGCGTCTGTCGAGCTGCCCATGGGAAGAAGAAGTACATTCTTTCCTGTCGCTTGCTCAAATGTTAGAGTCACCGGAATACTGTCACAACAATTAGTAAGTTTGACGTGCTGAGTAGTGAAGCAAAACTGACCTGCCACCTTCCCTGGTTAAATCAGGCTTCACGCCCCACACCTTCTCTACTGCCTTGCTCGCTGCTGTGAAGTTCCAGTGCTTGGGACTTGCAACCCACCATTTGCCAGCGTTCTGCAAAGTGCACTTGCAAGTGTTCTTACTCCCGAGCTTTTTGAACTGCTCGTCAATGTACTTGAATACAAGACGGTCGACATCCTCAGATTCCATGTTTGGTACTGTACGGATTGAGAACTTTCCGATGACCTTGGCTGGGATGACGGTCTTAGCACCGGGTTGCGAAAAGGCTCCCTCGACGCCATGTACTGAGAGGGAGGGATATCTCCATCTGGCCATCAGAGTGCGCTCTTTGTCCGGGTGGATGGAGGTCTGACTACCAAGAGATTCGTAGAGATTGTCCATTGTGAAGGCAATGTTGCCGTACAATGACTTCTCTTCCTCCGTCAGGGGAGCGACAAGTTCAGCCAGACCTGGGATTTGAATTTTGCCGTCTGTGTCAACCAGACTTGCCAGGATACGCATCAGGTCCGTCATAGGTTCTTGAGCTGTACCGCCGAAAACACCACTGTGAAGGTCCTGGCCAGGTCCTGAAATCTCCACTGAGTAGTAACTGCAACCGCGAAGCCCGTATGTCAGGCAAGGCTTCTCCGTTCCAAGCCAATAATTGTCAGATATGCATACGGCGTCTGCGTCGGCAAAGAACTTCTTCGCCTCTGCGTTTATGAAGTCGTCCAAGCCCTCTGATCCATATTCCTCCATGCCCTCGAAGCACATGAGCAAGTTGACCGGAAAGTCGACGCCAGCCTTCTGATGTGCCTCAATTGCATTCAACCAACCCAAGACAGGCCCCTTGTCGTCTGTACTGCCTCTGCCGAACATTCGTCCTTTGTCGTCAATCGTAAGTTCGAAAGGCTCGGTGGCCCAGCCGTCCTCTTTCCCAGCCGGCTGTACATCGTAGTGGCCGTATACCAAAATGGTGCGCTTCTTCCTATCATTTCCATAGCGAGCAATGACGACAGGGGGGAGTTCGAGGTGTTCTTTCCCAGGCTGCTTTCCCAGCGGTCGCTGCTGGACCCCTGCACCTAGAGCTGAGAGCTCAGCCGCGAGGAATTCTCCCATGCGGACAACATCAGGTCGTCGTTCTTCATCAGCAGAGATGGACGGAATTGCTACCGCTTTTCGAAGCCGCTCGATAAAATGGTCGGAGAGAGAATCCACTTGCTTGAAGTAGCCATCTAGTTGAGGAGCCATCTTCCGATGTGAGCGAATGGGACCAGGCAGAATCGTTCGAACTGGACACGAGAATGAAATCGCGGCTGCCGGTGTCTCTGAATACAATTGGCCGGGGGGACTCCGAAAGGACAGGACTCTGAGAAGGTTGCGGGCTCGCGTCGTTCGTGAGAGCCAAGTTCCGGAGCTGATGAGCATTTGAAGATGAAGTGCCCAGCCGAGGGTGGATGTCTCTTAACTCGCAACCCCACCTACCCGCTTTATTAGGCGAATTCACGCGCGGGGAATGCGGGAAGGTACGAAAGTACCTACTACTAAGTACCAGCCAGGTCTCCAGGTCCCTCTCCACCTTACCTCGAAGAGTACCGTGGCCTCGGGACTAGAGTGGACGCCGATTTTCCTGCTAATACTCCCACGCGGGACTACTCTAGCAGCCTTCTAAGGAGTTCTCGATAAGACGCCGAGAGTCTTCATATAGTACGTACCGTTGGTGGTCAGGTTCTGGCTATGCTGCGGCACGCGCTCAGTCTCTCTCAAGTCATGTACCTCTCGCCTCTTGCGAGGATTGAGAACAATAGTACCTACACGTTTCAGTGCAATGAGGAAGAAATTTCAGTAATAATGGGCATGGAGGAGACGTTGTCGCCGTGGCGGTACTATTTGCGTCTTGCAAAGGCAATGGCGCCAAAACTTGAACCAGTGCCAAGTTGCGGCCCATCTACAAATAACCTTGGAAGTGATCTCTTCGGTCAGGTCAAATCGATATTCTTAGGAGGACATTGATATCTTTGGCACCGACACTCGGTTGAGAAGCACGAGAGAAACTTGAAGAAAGCAGTCATTTGGAGGCCCACGTCAGCAAGTGACAATTCCTGGATGTGAGATCAGAAAGATTTCTATTCTTGCTTGATACACCTGCACAACGACGACAGCCTGCACAAATGGGGATGAATTCTGACGTGCAGTAAACCCGAGAGATCGCCAGTGCATAAACAATAGTGCAACTCGAACCTCAAAATACTCCACCAGGGCTGTTGAATCCCAAAACCTGCCCTGCAGTGCTGCACACGATGGGAGACCCCCAAAAAGGTTTCTAGAAGCTTTTTATCTTCTATTTCGAGTCAATCACGGAAGTATCTGCATTCATTCCGACAGTGACTGGATTGGAGGCAAGTTGCATACACGCAGGAGCGCAAGCGGGCTCTATTTTGAGACACGGGCGCAGCGGGTGGGCACCAGCCACGAACGCCACATCCAACAACCCAACCCAACCCTCCCCTCTCTGTGCTTCACGACGCTGCGATCAGGAACAATACAGGTCCCTGCAGACGGGTTCTCTCCCCGTCTCAGAATCCAATGCTGGGCCGCAGCTGTGCTCGAGTGGAAGTTAGTTGACGAGATCAAAGCGGGCAGGGAGGGTAGGGAGGGCAGCGTGAGAAACAGTCGCAGATGTTTGGACGGGAAAGACGTTTCCATGGGGGTATGCAAAACAACGGGGTTTCCGTGCAGGCAAGAAAACTTTTGGATGCCCCGCAGATTGGAATGCTTTTCCAGTCAGCGTCGCATCAGAGCTCAGCCTTTCGAACTCTGTTTCGAAGCAAACAGTAGAGGAGTAGGAGAGGATAACAACAATATCAGAGGCTGATGAACGGAGTTACGGAACGGACAGATCGAAGGTCAAATTTTGGCACTTTCGACAACGAAAGGAAGCCAAAATCGGCTGGCTCTTGGCTCCCTGCGAACGTAAGGAACGGTGACATGGACCAGTAATGCTTGAAGCCAGCACGCCTTTGAAATTGGGCAAAGAAATCGGACGGTTGTTATTTCCTTAGAGACAGACAGACATCCAGACAGACAGGCAGACAGGCGGCATGCACAAGATAGGGACAAGCACTTCCTCTGTGTAGTCCGTGTACTTGCCATCGTACCATTCGCCAATCAGAAACGCAAACGACGGTTCCCCTGCGCAATCTTCTGCGCAGATCATTGACCGATCTTGGCTTGAACAAAAGATATGATTCTGCTGGGGTGCCTACCACTGAGGTCTCTTGAGAGGAGATGAAGATATGGGCCCGGCAGAGGGAGAGAGAGAGCAGAGAGATCTCGGGTTGTATCGCGCCAACGGCGTTGCAACGTCAAGTGCTGGAAATGCAGGGGCTTTCTGTTTGGGTCTGGGGAATGGGGGCTGGGGAAAAGAACCGCTCCCTGTGCCTATTTGAGGATCTCCGCAACCCTCCAGATTCAGAAACTCTGCACAAGATCCGTGGAATTTCCAACTTGACGGAGCATGCAGTAGTCTGCATTGAAGAGCGAGTCGTCATCTCCTGAACTGCTTCTATTCCGTACTCTCGCCAACTTCCTCCCTGTTTTCCACACTCTAACCACGCCACGTCAATGCTCTACTGTTTACCACACATAGATCTGGCGCCGGCGCAAATGTTCACCTGCCCGCACTGTCCGTGAGCGACGGCGGGGCGGTAGTGTCGTGGAAAAGCGCGTCGTCCAGGCATGGATAGAGGCGCACGCGTCTGCAAGCGTCTGCAAGTAGTTTAAATATAGAGCTGGACAGGCGAGGCGCTGCGTCTGACAGATGCTGTGTGCCCCTTGGCGCCTGGACTGGACATGCAGCTGTATGATTAACCCAGGCGACCCAGCAGATTGCTCCTGGTCCTGGGAGCTGCCAACCGCGCTGCTGGGCTGCTGCTGGGCTGCTGCTGGGCTGCTGCACTTTGCGCCGAGTCCGGTGCTCTGGTCTATGGCTGATCTCTCCCGACGGCTATTATTGTGCATCCATACCTCGAGGCAGCTCGATCCAGGAGTGCGAAGTATTCTTGGGGAGTAGTGCTCCTCCATCCAGCTGGCCGCTCAACTCCGCTTGGCATCGATCATCTGCGCTTGCTTGCCCCTGTCGCGACGTGAAGCTCTGATGCCACAACAGAACGCTGCCCCCCCGTCCCTGCTCGTGCAGTAGCTCCCATCGCCAACCCCCTCCACGATGCTTAATCTGGAAGAAACCTCAAGGAGGCCGGGAAGCCTCTCGCCTCCTCCCTGCCGCCGCTCTCCTCCTCCCCAGCCTCGAACGTCGTCCATCCGCCGGCTGCGTTTGCTGCCGCACTAACGGGCGCTTAACTCGACGACGCGCCCACCAATTGGCTATTTCTGGCCTCCGTTGATGTCCTCGACCCTCTTCCGGACTGGCTTGGATGTCTGGATGGGTGGATGATGGCCGCCCGGGACGCCAGAGCGTCCCATGTTTGGTGGCTGCCAGGGGCTGCCCCCCCCCCCCCCCCCCAAGGATCGCGCGACAAGGGAAGAGGGGAGCTGTGCAGTGCAGTGCGGTGCAGTCGCCGGACCGAGCCTTTCACACCTCCACCTCCACCCGTCTTCCTCACTTCATCCATTCAATTCTCCTTCTCCATTCTAAACATAATCGCCATGCTCAGCAATGCCCCCCCGCGGTAGGCTCTGTCTTGGTTGTGTACCCATACCCAACGCTTCGAGACTGCGAGAGGTGAAGCTCCCTCTCTCTCTCATCAGCAGTAAAAAAAGCTACGCCCTAGCCTTGAGCCGTCGCGTCTATTCCAGACGCAGACACCCTTTCTAAGCCTCGGCCTTGTCAACAAAAGAGCCGTTCCTGCGCTGAGATTTTGGCCCCTGGCAGATCTATTCTATTCCAGCCAGGCTGTGCAAGGCTGTAAGGATTTCTCAGATCTCGTTTCCAATTCAAGCATCATCAATCATGTCGAGCCTCAAAGATATCATGGATGTCGACGTGGAGCCGTTCGAGTCCCAGGCCTATAGAAGGTCGAAGGAAGCCGCCCAGCAACAAGCCTCCCGTGCTGCCATCGTACCATCATCTGAGACGTCATCGCCGCCCATCGACGACGACGACGACGACGACAAGAACAACAGCTTCAAGGGCAAGACCCCTCTCAGGCGGCGCAGATCAAACCGAGTCTCGAAGCCCGCTGCTCAGCCCACAGCCGCACGCCAAAACATCTCTCGCCGGCGTAGTAGCACCACCGGGGAAGGTATGGACTTCTCAGGGTATCAGCCAGGAGGCTCCAATCAAGCCAGCATGTCGGGGAGTCCTCCACAATCATCAAGAGGATCTGAGCCAGCAGCAGATATGCCTGTGAAGTACACGCCTGTGACAGGGCGCATTAGCAGAGCAAAGAAGGGTGTACCCGTTCACACGTGCGAGCTATGCCGCCCAGTCAAGGTGCGCTCCCATCTCTGTTCGACCTGTATGTGCTAATCAAGTTACAGACCTTCACGAGAGCAGAGCATTTAAGGTAAATGGTCCCTGCGAGTTTACAGTTATATTGTGCTGACATAAGATCAGGCGTCACCAACTCAGTCACCAGAAACCTGCCTACCCATGTACATTCGAGGATTGCGAGAGAGCTTTCCACCGGCCAGATCTCTTAGCTCGACACTTGCATCGCCAGTAAGTCTCTCTAGCGTGTCCCCAGTAATTCGTGCGTACCGTGCCCAATTTCACTTGATATTCTAAAGTGCTACAATTTCTAGTCTTCAAAAGACCTGAATCTGCACAGCAAACCATGATCTAGCCTGGCGCTGTCTTTATCTTCAGCTCCACTCGAAAAACTTGGCCCGAACGCTGATCAAATGTAGTGAGACCCAAGGCGAGAAAGCCTACAAATCAGGGGATCCCCGCAGCAGAGCATCATCAAGCGCATCCGAGAGCCGGACTCCCTCTCTCAAGGTAGAAACACCGTCCCAGGCGGGTAGAGCTGCGAACCAGACCTCACCAACCGACTCCTTGACTCCCAGAACGAGTGGGAGTGGTGAGAGTTCAATGACTGCCTCATCGTTCAGCACCATCACAACAAGTTTCCAGGCAGTAAACTTCTCTCCAGGACCGGGATCCTCAAACAAAAGATCTGCAAGCCAAGCTCAATTACCCGAAACAAATGCCTATCAGCCAACGTCACCAGGCTCAGGGTCCAGGCCATCTGGAAACTATGACCAAATGGCTAATCAAAACAACTATACTCGTGCGGCCCAGTCCCAATTTAACGAGGTGTATGATGAAGGAGGAAATGCTCAGTTTACAGGCTATCCTACCACGCCTCAGTTGCCACTTTTGAGAATCCCCGAAGAGACCTATACGCCAGGTCTCAGTTACACGCAAGACAACTCCCCCTGGTGTTCATCGGCGTCTGACAGCACTTACTCGACTCAATCGGACGGACCGAGAAATCTTCCTCAATGGACTCAACGGGGTCGGTCAGCTTCAATCTCAGACTGGCCAGTAACAGCAGCGCTCTGGTCGGCTACTCCTGCCAGCGTCACGCCTCAGGACCTACGAGCGACACCTTTCGACTCCATGCTGGACCAATATGACACGCCCTACATGTCGCCCCGAATGACACCTCCATCCAGAGGGCGCCAGCTCCTGGATGTACCCGGCGGCCCGTTTGGCGGCATTTATATGGAATCAGTGGGTACTCCAGCCCTCTCGACGTATATCAAGCCATTGGCTCAACATTTTCCAGCATCTGCCTCAAGAATATCCGATTCGGGGTTGGCAAGCGCGGCCAGAAGACCGAAAGAAATACTGTTAGAGTTCTTTAACATTGACACTACAACGATGGCTTTGTACGGAGCACAACCGCAATTCGATCTCTATCTTTCTAGCTACTGGCAATATTTTCATCCACTTTTTCCAATCATTCATCGCCCCACATTCGACCGCACACAAGATAACCTACTTACAATAGCCATGGCAGCTATTGGCACGCAATATCATGATTCCCTCGAAGCCCGAACGCAGGGTTCCGAATTCAACGAAGCCTGCAGGAAAGGCATAGAACTAGTAAGTGTGCTCCTCATGCACGCTCGTTGCACTGCCTGTCCGATGTGACCTTTTCGGGCATGGAGATGGGTAAAGTGGCCCCATCACAGCTTCATATTTGTTTCCGAGAAACTAGGTCTTCCCTTCATCCCTGTGCCAAACAGCGGTGGAACGAGCACCTCTATCAGATTTATCACGCGGGAGAAGCTGGCTGACTGACCTTCCGATAGTGTCTCAACTGGAGCACTCATACCATGCAAGCAATACTTCTGACCGAATTTTACACCCGTTTCAGAGGACGAAAAGTTGTTGTTCGATTATCTAGACATTTTGAAGAGCTTTATTCCAGAGTCAGTTGCCGCTGACAACCTTGTCCGAATCAGTGTGTAAGCTAACAGGAGGCAGCTTTTGAATGATTTTGACCACGGCACTACCCAAACGATTCAGACCCCTAGCGAGGCAACTTCAGCCAATGCATTAATCGATCGGTTCGGTGCACAAGCGCAAGCAGAAGGCCAACCGAACCTTGATGAAAATAGCAATTGGTCACAATGGCTCGAGAAGGAGGCGAGGCGACGCTTGCTAAGTGCGTGCTTCATGTTCGATGTACACCAAGCCATGTACCACCAGCAATCCCGATTCAAAACCCCCACCGACGAATCGAGATTTCTAGTTTGCCTGCCTGCCCAGGACCACGTTTGGAATGCCGGGAGTGCCTCAGAGTGGCTAGTCCAGCGACCAAACCACCAAACTCAGCCGCTGCGCTTGGTGGAGCAAGACCTGTCCACTCAAGATATCTTCAGCACGTCCTCATTTACCCAATCGCTCCTGATCTGTTGGTTCACCTCGAGTCTCCCCCCTCGCGAGGATCCGACCTATCCAAACGACCTCCTTCCACAGATGCACCCTACGATCGACAATTTTATGACACTTTTCCCGAATTCTCCACAGGCACACACATACCTTGCTTTATATCACACCCCTCTACATGACTTGCTAGCGATAGCAGGGGATACTTGGGTTTTTGCCTGGAAGATCACGCCACCATCGGCCTTCCACGCTGCTCAATCTCGCCTCAAGATATGGTCCACTTCTCTTGCCGCTGCGCAGGCCACACGCCACGCCTGCCGAATCCTCTCTGAATCGTTGACCCAGCCCTGGACATCATCTCCTGATGACCGCCCAAACACCCCGCACTGCATATCAGACTACTGGAGTTTGTACGTTTCCGCGCTGATTTGTTGGGCCTTTGGACATCGATACCAGAATTCCAGCGGCGCGAACAACGGCACACTTTCCCGTAGCAATTCTTCCACGGCAATCGGGGCAATGGACATCGATGAAGCCACGAGTTCTGGCACTTCCCATCTTAAAGCCGTCAAATATGCCAATGATATTTTGAACCTCAGCGCGGAAGAGCTTTTGACCAGCAAAGCAGCTGTCAAGTGCGATACTACTGGTGTTATCGATGCAGTTCGACAGCGCCTTGAATTTGAAAGTGTGGGCAATAAGAGCGGCCTGCTCGTTGATGCAGTCACGGTTCTGACTAAAATCAAAGAAGGTGGAAGAACAAAAGACGGTGGACGAACGAAGTGGTTCTAAATTTCCCTTTCTTTGCTTGCTTTCTTTTCGTTCATGAGCCTTGGTTCGGTACCTTATTTTGCAATTTGCTTTTGTATTAGCATGCAGTCGGCACGTCTGTTCGTTTCTTCCCGGGCTTGGAGCTAGTGATGTGTTCATGAGTCATGAGGTGGATGAATTTCCTTAATGTTGGGTTTCTTGATTCCTATTATACATGTTTTTTGCTCAATGTTTCTTGCATTGCTCGTTTCACTGGCTCCCCTTGTTGTCAACCAAAGCCTCCCATTTCAACCTGTATTTTCTGTGCATAGTCAGGTGTGATATTAAGATGGAGTGTTGGGCATTCATTCGTTCAATTCAGCGGGCATAGCATGATCATGATACCCTTGCATGGTAGAACTTAGAAGGAGAAAAGGCGATTCTGTAGAAATGGTAAATAGTTTCTCATGTCCCTCAGCGACTACAAAATAAAAGAACGGTTGAATACACGCATGCATGGAAAGACCACACCACTTGGCAAGCGTATGTGCATATCTACTAGAGTAATTATTGAAATGCATTGGCAAACTAGCCTAAACTAGCTCCCAAATATTATCTACACTTTTCCAAACTATCGACCAACTCTCACTCTTCTGACGAGCCACGGAACCCCCAATGATGACAATGCACGCGAGAAGAAATGGTATTGAAAAGAAACAGGGAGACTCGGAAAACGCAAGTAGCAAGATTCGGTATCAAGACGGGCCCCCATGGATCTTCCCTCTCGTCTCCTCGTCGTCCACATTATACCCAGGATGGGGAAAGCGCTTTGCCAATATCGTACACTCGGGAGTGCGGCTGCCCTAACACTAGAAGGTCGTGGCGTGATCTGCCAGCGCCATACAAAATCTTAATTCTTCTTGTCGCTTAGTTTGGCCTTGAGTTTTCCGAAAAAGCTGAGTCGCTTCTTCTTCTTGTCCGTCTTATCTGCTGTCGAGACACTTGCAGGACTATCTGCCGCCTTGCTGCTCCCAGGTGTAGCCTTGGAGGGTGTGGAAGGGCTGGTTGTTGTATCTTTCGCTGGAGTGGTCTTATCCGTGGTGGTCATTGCCGCCGGAGTTCTTTCGCCTGGTACGGTCCCAGGCGACACTTCACGTGACTCGATAGGCTTTGCAGGGGATGCGGGTGGATTCAAGCCTCCCGAGGTCCCAGCAGAAGTTCCCTTTGGTGCAGGTTCACCAGTAGAGGTTTCGGGCTTGATCTCGGAGAGAAGTTCCTTTTCCACAGCTTTTTTCTCCAACACGGCTTCCTCGTTCGCAGCAGCTTCAGGGCTCTGGCCTGATTCGGCGATTGATTCCTTTACTACTTCCGGTGTATCCTTTGCTGGGGCGCTGACAGAGTTGGGATGTTCTGCAATTCCCTCGGAGGTAGCTGGGGCGACGGGAACATGGCCCAAGAGCTCCTTCTCCACGGCGCTCTTCTCCTTAACCTCTTCCGGAACGGCACTGGCTTCTGGCCCTACTCCTGCCTCTGCTTGGCTTTCCTTCACAACTTCTGGTACTTTAGATGATTCGAGAGGCACAGCTGCGGCAAGTTGGGCGGTAGTGCTTGCTGGGCCGGAAGATTGGATCGTTGGACCAGCATCGAAGGTCTCTGCACCTGTACCTCCAATTGGTAAGCTTGACTCCGGAATCAACTTCTTCGAAATGGGTGGAAGATCAAGAATGCCGGTGCCTTTTTGATCCCGCTCACTTTGAGGGGTGACGACCGGAGGAAGAACAGGAGCATTTCCCAACCCACCACTCTTTTCGTAGGACTCTTTGTCGGTCGTGACCGCCGAATGAATAGTATTGCCCGTCAACGTGCTCGATTCGGGAATCTTTTCCCCAGGTGCAACCTTGACCGGGTTGACGCCACCCGGAAAGGCTGGAAGTGGTGCGACGCTGAAGGTTGGTTCTGGCTGCTGTTCCTCCTTGGCAGCAGCGGCAACAAGCTCGGGGTCATCGCGAACTCCAGAGGTGACAGTATTGTTCGTGAACGAGCTTGGATCCGGGACTTTCTCGCCAGGGGCAAGCTTTATGGGATTGATAGCCCCATCGAAAGCTGGGAGAGGGGCCACGGAGAAGTCGCCTTTTTCAACAGCAGCTGGGGTCTCGGGGAAAGTGCCTGGCAGGTCTGATGAGCCAGTCTTTTCGAGTGGAACATTCTTCGCCAGTTCAGCTGTCGTGGATGTAGGAGCAACTCCAGACATGATACCAGCTGACTCGGGCGTGTGCTTGACGATTCGGTCTGTGGTGAGGACGTTGTTTAGGTTGCCTGAAGCGTCTTTCTCTTGAGGGGCAGTGGGATCGGTAACCCATTCACCATCGACAACAAACTGCAAAGGGAAGGAATTATCAGTAAAAAGGTCGCCGAGGCAATTGTCTTATGGAACGATGTGAACGTTGAAAGGGGAGGGGATCTTGTTTAAGAGAACTCAGCTGTTCACAGCTGGTGGCGGGGTTGGGAATAGGCGACACAGGGGCGGTGTGGTCCAAGCACAGGCATCCCAATCAAGACCACTGCCTGCTAGGTAACCTGGAAGCGGCGGATTTCCAACTTGAAAAGCTTCACCGCCCGAAACAAAAGCATGGCGAGGCTGGCCAAACCGCGTCATAGGTCAAATGCAGATACGATGCCAGGGGTCCAGCATCCTGTCTCCAGATAAAGTTCTGTCGCATTCCTGAGGGACGCACCCCCGCAGGAATGTATTTTGAGACCCTCCCTATCCACTTGGCGGCGGAGCTCAACACGTCGAGATGTTTGGAGCAAAAATTTCGACCCTTCTGCGCGATTGTTGCACTCAATTTGTCCTTACGCACCTTGTAGTATATCTTCTCGGCCGCGCTCGGTAGCGTCACATTCTTCTCGAAGACATTGCCAGTCTGAATCAGCTTCTCGCTCTTCGTCCAGTCGTCAAATGTGCCAGTCACGTAGACCTCTGATGCGTCATGCTCCCACTTGAACACGAAGGTGCCCATGTTTGATTGTTGGTAGGAAGCTCGAAACGCTGCGACAATGTATGAAGTGCGATTCGGTGTCGTCGAACAACGGACGGGCAATTGCTACAGCTGAAGAACTGTTGCAGATCTCGTGGCGGGAGATATCCCCAAAAGGTAGGATTCGGATTCGATCAGATTCGATATCGGGGAGTAGGTTTCAGGGCGCCACAAAGCCGTTGAAATAGCGATTGGCAGCGCAAAACGCGAGCGTCTGACGTCGAGATGATGTACTGCTGCTTGGCTCGATGGGGGTGGGGGAGGGCGAAGATTAAGAGACGGACAAAAGATGAGAATGGGAGGATGGATGGGAGGGGATCAGTTGAGGGCCAGAATGGCGACGGCGATGGCGATGGCGATGGCGACGGGGGACGATCCAGTTCGTCAATTAATTGAAATGGGTGAGGGAGCTTGCTTGATTGGCGAGGGAATAAAGGTGGCAGGCGGAAGGGGAAGGCCAGTTGGGCTGATTGGTGTTGGCGCCGCGCCTCTGGTTGGCGTAGCGAAGCCTCGGACGGCCTCGGACGGCCTTTGACCAGCGGGGCGGGGCGGGGCGGAACGGAGCGGAGCAGCACAGCGCCGAGCGGTCAGAGCAGCAGCGAGCAGAGCAGCGCAGGGCAGAGAGCGTGGATGTGCCTTCCTTTCCGAGAGCAAGCTGTACATATATTGTTCCGCGCACACCTGCTCTCTCAATACAATATCCTCTCCCCCATCCCCCAACTATCTGAGAGAGGGGCTGGGAGCTCCCCCTGCAGCCCGCAGCTCCGAGACGAACGACTCCCGTACCATACTGTACCTTCGTACCTCCCTACTCTGCACATTGTGACGACAACCATACTGTACGAGCTGGCAAGGGGAGAGATAACAACAATCATCCGCATCCGCATCCGCAATGGGCACCGGTATTCGAGCTGGCGCCTCCCAACATCGGCCCTGATTCGAGCTGTCGTTGACTGCACTGAATCGCGTTTGTAATTACGCGTCGTGGCCAGTCCGTCCAGACGAAACCGGCAACTCACATGATGCAGGTCAGATGCTCTGACCTCATTGTAGAACTACCAGACATGGCCCATCCATTGCCTTGCCCATCCATTGCCGTGACCCATCCACCATTGCCGTTGCTTATGAGGGACCCAGGTGGGAGCCGTCTGCTCGGCTCCGGAGGTATGCTGGGGTGAAGAGCATTGCAGGCAGTAATTCAATTTGCGACTAATATTACAACTCCCAGTGTGAGCGTTAACTACTAGGCTTCACAGCCCGAGGGGCAGTCATCCGGTACAGGGAGCGTTGCAGCTGAGACAGACATGATAGAACTTGATATACCAGTACAGTACCTACCTCCATGAGAATGAGCCAACCCTGAGCATCAGGCTTTTATCGGACCCAATCTGATCTGAACGGCGAGGCGCTTTCCCCTGTACTGGAAACCCAGCTCTGGCTTCTTGCCAGTTTGCATGAGGCCGCTGCTGTTGCGGGGACATCTTGGAAGCAAGTCTCCAAACGATCAGCCCGCCAGAGGAGTGATTGATTGATTGATTTAGTCATATACCGTTCCAGGCCTGAGGCCCATGCGGGAGTGGTCTAATCTACGCTGCAGTTCCTGCTGCTGCCTGAATTCGTGCCTTGTTGCCTGAGATCACTTCCTGGAGCCCCCTGAAGTCCCTGAAGCCCCCTAAAGTCTCTTGAAGCCCTCGAATTAGCCGTTCTGCGTCCCAAACCCTGATAATTGCGCCCCGAGGTCCCCAAACTAGGTGTGTAAAGTGGAAGAAATGCCCCAAATCCCCGCATAGCAGGCCCTGGAGCCCCGTATCAAAGTCCTCCAGGGCCTCCTGAGATTATCCACACCCTGGTGGCCCCCTTGCGGGGTGCCAGGGAGCGGGCAAATATCACGTCCCCAAGTCCCCTCCCGGTATATGCCATATCTGGGCATATAGGTATTCCGCTACTATCTATATAGGAAAGGCCCCTGGGACCTGCTACTATATATACTAGAAATAAGCTAAAGATAAGGAGAATAGAAACTGAAATTGCCCCAAAGTCCCGTCTATAGTAATCCCAAGTAATATATTATACTAGTTAAAATAATAGTTTGTCTTATCTACTTTTTTAGTAGGTTAAAGTACTTATTCTTATATACTATATATCTCGGCCCAATAATTACCCGTATTCGGGTATAGCTATAAGAGTAACCTAAGTTCAGGGAGGCCCCTTATTTAGAGTCTTCTTTATTCTCGGGCTTTACCTATATATAACTAAAGGGCTTTAGTAGTTCTATACTTACTATAAAGTTAGTAGTATAAGTAGCTAGCTTCTTATTACCTAGAACTTTCTTGAGATCTATAGTAAAGTCCTTAATTCTATTCCTGAACTATTTTCTAAGATTTATAAAGGCAAGATAAATAAATAAAATATAAAAGGTATTTTAGATATTCTGGTTCCGGTTTCTATAGTTATATTAGTTATAGTACTAGAAGTTAATTCCTAAAATACCTATTTTAAATAGGAATTAGTAAAGTTTAATCTTTCTAGTTCTTATCTAGATAATAATTAAGCTTTACTATTAGGGTTAGTTATAATATAGTTATATATTCTTTTTATGGAATTATTTATAAATATAATAAACTTACTAGCTATATTAGCCTTTATATTATTATTCTATTTACTTCTTTATTATATATTAGTTAATTTAATTTAGAATAGATATAATTAGTATTACTAAATTATTATATTATAGTATAGTCGGTTTCCTATTACTATTAGACCGCTATCTCATAGCCTTTTTTACTATAATATTAATGGTTTTATTACCTGTAATACTAATATAAGCTAGTATCTAGTAGATCTATATAAGGCAAAAAGTTTACTAGAAGAGCTTATATATTTCTCTTAGGAAATATTAGGCCTTTTTAGCTAATAGGTTTAAGATATTCTTAATAACTATCTAGTTATTACTAAAAATATATATGAGATATAGTTTATCTAAGACTACTATTATCTAGAGTACTATAACTAGACTATATACTTCTCTTATATAAACTATTAATATATAGTTTATTCCTATAAAGGCCTGCTTAATTTCTCTTATTTAAGTATAATAAGTAATAATACTAATCCTATTATTAATACCTAATTTATTTATATAGATATATATATATCCGGGGGTCTAGATAAGTTTATTATAAATCCTAGTAGCTTCTTTAGCTATTAATAGAATGCCTGTAATTATATTAAGTATCTGGGCCTATAGTAGGATTATGAACCCTTTTTTTATTTCTATAAATATAAGCTTAGTTTTAAAAATAGCCTTAAATAATACCTTATACTAGGCAAGCGGGCTATAACTAGTAATATTAATACCTTATATTATATATGGGATGGCCTATATAAGTTAATATTCTTATTTACTAGTATTAATTCTTAATAGAGCTTTATAGTTTTATTTTCTTAGTTTGAGAGAAATTAGGGTAAGTAAGAGCTCGATATTTAGTATATCTATACCTGCTTATTTATATACTACCGAAATATACTTTATAACTTGGGTTTGAATTAAGGCAAGAGTTTATTTAGCTTTCTTCTTTCCTGAAATATATTATACTAAGCTATAATATATAATAATTAGGAGAACTATAGCTTAATAAATATTACAAGTATTTTATAATCTTGTATCCTATATTAACTTCCCGAGAATAAAGATAATTATAAGGTTCTTTCTTGCCTTTACTATAATAATAGTAATATAGGTATAGAAATTTAGCTTATTATTAAGAATTATATCTAGTATCTTAGTATTTTCTTTTAGTATTACTATAACTTCTCCGAGTTAGAAAAAGTACTTATTTTCTTATTATATAATTACCCTAGTATATAAGTAATAAAAATAAACTATATAGAACTTATTCGGGGCAAATTTGGATTTATAAGTACTAGCCCAGGTTTAATAATTATTATATACTACCTTAAGTAAAGCTATAATTACTATTATATTAAGCCCTCGGGCTATAAAGTTAATATTATTAATCTATTCTATTAATTTAATTCTAATATTCCCTATAATCTCGAGAAAGTTAGTATTATAGAAAGAATAAAGAATAGGACTAAGAAAGAAACCTTAGGAAATACTAATACATATACTTATTTTACTAGTACTAAATTCCGGGAGCTTAAGAATTATACTTTAGTTATTAAAAAAGCTACTAATTTATTTAGCCTATTTATTTCTTAGATAATATTTACTAAGATTATAAATAAGTTAAGTATATAATACTATATTATATACTTCGGATATATTAAGAAATAGAAGTATTATAACTTCCTTTCTTTACTAGGCTTTATAAATATTTATAATTATATTATATAATACTATTTTATATAAGAGTTTCTTATATTTGCTAATATAATTATTTAGTAAAAAAAAGTAGGTCTCTAGTATAATACTTATTCTTATAGCTATAACTAATTCTATAACTTTTCTAATAGTATTAAGAAATATAATAGATTTATATTCTCTTATTTCCAAGTATTTTACTAGCTTTTTGCCCGGTTTTTTAAGAGTAATTATAATTAATTTATAGAAGTACTTTAGGTAATATCTCGTATTAAGGCTTATATTAAAGATTTATAGTATAGTATCTACTATTATAGAAAGTATAATATAGATAATTTTATTCGAAACCAAGTCTAGTTCTAATATTTTATAATTCCTAAACTTATTAATAATATAAATAATCTCTTATTTAGTAATATATAAATAGTAAATAGGCTAGAGATATGTTTTCCGCCCTATTATAAAGATATTAATATCTAATATATTTGCTTTTACTAGAAGTAAGTGAAATTTCGTATTAAGGGTTTTAGCCTTTTATTCTAGTATTATTATAATTATTTTATTAGTAAAATTAAAATTAGAGATATAAGAAAAGACCCGTATTTCTTTCTTTTTAATAATTTTAATAAATCTCTATAGCTTATCTAGGTTACCTGCCATATTAGCTAATTACTCGTATTACTAGCTATATTTAAATACCCTAATAGCTTTTTTTAGGCTTTATTTAAGCTTATAATATTAGTTTTCTAATCTTACTATTTGCTTTTAGGATACTTGTCTTTTAGTCCGTTATATTACTCTAACTAGTTCCTTAAGTTCTGGGAAAAAGCCCGGGATAGATTAGTTAGAGATATAATATAAGGTATTTATTAGTAAGTAATAAGATAATAGAATAAATTAGTAAGTTATAAAACTATAGTATTAAATTTAGTATAGAACTAATCTTTATCTCTTCTATAAGATCTAGAGAAGCCCTCTTTAAATAGGAGGCCCTAATAATATATATATAATTAGTAATTTATAAGTCTAATATTTATAATATAAATAATAGTTAGTTATGAAATTAGAGAGCCTCTAATTTCCCTAATTAATACTTATAATATCCGAGGTTTATTATATGCCCTTAAATTATATATAATCCTATATATATTATAACTATATCTCTTTTCTAGGATCTTATTCCCAAGATCTATTAATTTATTCTAGTAAATATTTAATTAATTAATTATTTAATTAAGATAAACTTCTAGTATCTTAAGAGATAGTTTTACTAATATAATCTAGATAATAGATATAAAAATCATCTAATTAAATTAGGGCTAAGTAAGTAAGAAGAAAGAGTAATTATATCCCAGATATAGGGGCTAGCTAGTAATTATAATTTTGTTTAGAATCTAAGTATTCTAATTAGCTTAATCTAAAGTACTAAGGCATTACCTCACGAAATTAATACTACTTATTAGATCTCGTATTAGAATAATCTAAATAGCTATATAGAAAGAATTTAACAAATATTTATATAAGAAACCTATATAAATATTTCTGAGATCCTAGAAATTATTTATAGGCTCCTAGAAGCATATATTAATTAGTTATACTAGTTTCTAATTAGGACTAGCGCGAAAACTAGTAGTTAATTTAGATAGTTCTTTATTTTTATAAAAGAACCTCTTTATATTACTATATATTCTTTTTCTTTCTAATAACTATATATATAATAACTTTTTCTATTATTATTTTCTAGCCTTTTCTTTTACTTTTTTTTAAGCCTTCTTTAATTATTTTTAATTAATTCTATAATATCTTTTTCTGGCTTTATTATTTGCCTATATAATAATAAATATAAAAATAACCTTATAGTCTTCTTTTCTATTACTAGTAAATACTTGAAATATTTTAAGTATTTGCTTATTAATTTCTTTATCTTATATACTATAATACCTAGTAAGAAAAATTATAACTATTATAATAAGGGTTCTAAATCTTATATATTAGTAAGTTCTTTAGCTTTAATATCTATTAAAGCTAATATGATTTCAGATTTCTTACTACTTATTAGAGGCTTACTAGTTCTAGGAAGATATTATTATAGCCTTTAAGAAATTTCTTAAAATATATCCTAAATAATATTATATTAATAAGAATAATATTATTAAT